GGTTTCTATTACATCATGGAGCGGGCTTACATTCCACCCTACCTAACGGAGATATGGCAGTGCATATAGCAGCAAGGGACGGGAACGCGGAGTGTCTGAAGATCCTTATTGAAAATGATGCTGACATAAACGCAACGAACTGTGCCGGATGCACACCACTCTACCTGTCTGCAGAATTCGGACATGAAGACTGCCTGAAAGTTCTACTTGAAAAAGGAGCTCATAAAAGTTTTAAGACCGAACACGGGACAACAGCTCTGCATACTGCAGCACAGAATGGTCACACTAAATGTGTCACCTTGCTCGTCGACAACGGAGACGACGTGGAAGTCACTAACGACATCGGAGCAACGCCTCTGTTCTTTGCCGCCGTCGCGGGTAACCTGGGTTGCGTCAAAGCTCTCCTAGACAAAGGAGCTGACATATCAAGGAAAACAAATGACGGGAGCACAGTACTGCAAAGTGCGTCGGCATTTGGAATGATGGAGTGCATGAACGTTCTGATAGAGCACGGCGCCGACATAAATGCCAAGAGGTCCGACGGATCCACGGCTCTGCACCTCGCAGCTCAAGAGGGCCACGTTAACTGCTTGAAGATGTTGATAGATAAAGGTTCGGACCCAAATGAGCAAGATAAGATCGGAAGGACAGCCATGATAGTAGCAGCAGAGAACGGCAATGTAATATGCATAAAAGAGCTGATTGACAGAGGCGCAGACATGAATATAAGCTCAGGCGAAGGAAACACCGCCCTACACGCGGCTTCTGTGTTCGGCCACCCGAAATGCATTAAGGTTTTGTTAGAAAACGGCGCTAATCTCGTGGCGACGACTCGACAACGAGCGACGACGCTCCACCTCGCAGTCGACGGCGGAGACAGGGAGACTATCAACACCGTACTGGACAGAGGGATCGGCGTCAACAACCGGGATGCAGATGGCGACACTGCCCTCCATGTGGCGGCGATGAACGGTGACGTCACGGCGCTAAGGAACTTACTGAGCCACGGTGCTGATATTCATGCAGCCAACAAGAACTCCGAGACGCCATTACATGCGGCCGTAATTGAGGGCCACCTGTCTTGTGTAAAAATGTTGCTTGACAGCGGTGCCGACGTCAGGAAGAAGACCCTGAGAGGGGACACTCCACTGCATGCAGCAGCCTTCTGCGGCAGCGTCCTCTGCGCCGGACTCCTGCTAGAACACGGGTGCGATATCCACGCGACGAACAACCGAGGAGAGACGGCCGTACACGTCGGCGCCAAAAGGGGTCACCTGGATTTACTAAAAGCTCTGTTTGAGCACGGGGCAGACCTGAACACGAAGACGGTTTATGGGAACACGGCACTGCACTTTGCGGCCATGTGGGGTCACTTCAGCTGCACTGAGCTGTTGCTGGAGAATGGGGCAGACGTTCACTCGCGAAACAAGAAGGGTTACACGCCATTGCACTGTGCGGCAGACAGCGGGCACGCGGACTGCGTGAGCACGCTCATCGAGAACGGGGCGCCGCCAAACCTGAGGGACTACAACGGGGCCACGGCACTTGACGTCGCCAAGAGGAACGAAAACAACAAATGCACTGACGTTTTGTCTGACATCGGCGGGAAGTTTTCCAAGAAGCGGCAGGGGATGTCCAAAGCCATCAGGAGATTTTTCTACTGCGTTTAATCACTGGCGGTGCTACGTTCGTCATTTTTGCGATGGAAGATAAGACGACATAAACATTTAATTCTGTAAAGTAGGCTTGGTCTTAACTGTCGGAGTCGGCTGTGGTAATTATCCTTACCAATTCTCTAAACCTGTAGCCAGTGTATCAATCATCGTGATTTGCTCGTCTTATGTTCGCTATTAATCTACAAGTTCCCGCTGAAATTTCTATGGCCAATACACCCTAATTGCAATAAATAATAAAAGAAACATATGCAAGGTCTTATGTAAAGTTCTGTGTTAAATTAAGTAATGCTGATACTCGGCAGGTAAAGGAAGATGGAACTTGAAGCTGGTATGTTTTTGCAGAGGGACAGCAAGGGTCACGCCGTGTATGAAATAATAAAAAAGGGCACATGTCCTCGTGCATTGAAATGTGTACACATTAAATCTTTATTAAATTCTATCAAACACCTCTAACGCTAAACATAAAACGACATCCCTCAGACATCAAGATCCCAACACTGGAACACATTAAACACAAGGAGTATAATTGCATTGGCTGTACACCGCATGGTCTCTTACCTACGTCACACGATTTTTTTAGACTTTCATAATGCATGCAAGACTCTAATCGGCTTTAAAATAATCCGTCGAATTTCATCCGCCCGGTAGGAACGACACGGTGTGACAGGTAAGGCAGATTATGAATTCTAACTCTGTCTGTTCTATTTAAGATGGTGACTGTGGTAATTCTGTGTAGGTGAGAGTTTAAAGAAGCATAACTCAACGCAGTTCTGAAGACGTAAGCTACTTTAAAAAATACAAATACCGATTGGACTAACGCTTTTAATACGTAACACAAAAACAGTAAAACATTTATATACCTCATCTGCTATAATGACAGTTTATGATATGCACAGAAAATTATCCGGCAAGGCAATTCAAAATTGGAAAGCTGCGAGTGTGTCTAAAACTTCGTCACTTTGGGCGAAACTTCCCTTCTAAGACACTAATTAATAAAGGAAAATATGAAACTTTTGGGGCTGTAGAAACAGAGAAACGGAGAACAGTGTTCCTGATATAAATGTCTAAATAATTCTGCCCAGAAGAGAAGTTTTTCTTCCCACATATTTTATTACTCAATTTCGCAACGCTGTTTGTCAGAATCAAACTTACTGCCAGGTGGACATTCCCTCTCAAAGACTTCAAATTTATTCGAGCTGATTAAAACACATTCGTGGTACTTCTTATCGTCGCCCTCAACTGGGAATAGACCTTCCTTCTTACACACAAAGCTGCATTCCTTTGTCTTGATATCAAACTGCTCTCCATCCCTGCATCTGAACACCAAAGTCGTCTTGTTACGTACGCAAAGGCCATAAACGCTGGGATCCTTGGGGTAGACGACGTACTCAAACGGAACTGCGTATTTACACTTGATGACCGCGCAGTCCGCGCTGGTACGTACTCATACGGAACTGCGTATTTGCACTTGATGACCGCGCAGTCCGCGCTGGTCCTCTGTCGGACGCACGACTTCTTCTCGTGGCTATAGACGTAATTAGCGGAGCAAGGGTACGTGGTGGCTTGATTCTTGACACAGAAGTGGAACTTGTGACAGTCGTCCGGGTCAGGAACGTACCCGTCGACGGTGCAGTGGAACAGGGTGGGCTTCTGTAACTCTGGTTCGCATCCTGAGGAAGGCTCTGCTCCGCACACCCCAGCACTGCAGTACGGCTTGGCGGAATCTTGATCCTCGCAGTTATAATCACCGGCATTTAGGAAATCCCCGTTCGGAAGGGAGACGCAAAACGGTGCGCTGGTACAGTTGTTGCAGATGTGTCCGTCTTTACTGCATTTTTCTCTCGGAACGGATTCTTCTGTAGAAGGCAAGGCCACTAGGTCAGTGGAACCCTCTTCACACAGCTATAAGGGCCGGAAAAGAAAAGTGTTGCGTCTCTAAATCAATATACGATTTTGGAGCAATATTATTGGTCTATTATGAGCGCATTCTTCAAGCAAATGCATCGACTACTTAGAAATGAACATTAATGGTTAATGTCTGGTGTTACACCATGACAGACTTTCACCACTGCAGTTAACTTAATGTTATCCAGTTAAGCAGTGTTCCACAAAAAGAAATTGACTACTGGCGTTATAATTGTTCTGAAGGCGACAAGATTTGTATTAATACTAACTATATCCGCCAAAAACAGTCTTATAAAAAGCGTACAATCTCTAAACATGAGAAATTAAATAATACGTTACATGACAACTGACATCTGGTTTTAGAATTTAAAACAGGTACGAAGTTCGTCAAAGAAAAATTGATTTTCCTTTAGTTCTAAAGGCCCCGACAGGAAGAAACACAAATAAGTCTCTGCATATCAGACGAAAATACTTAAGGCACTGTGCAGCACACACCTACATATACTCACTATAATGGACAGCAATTTTAAGCAAGCAGTCTATTTCGAACACTCCGCTTCCTTTCCTATCTTTTCCAATTCATTATTCAAACTATTCTTTCTGAAACGAAAAGTTTATGGCTCAGTTTCGGACCGACGTTTCTTCTACGTGTCGGAAATTCAAACCATAAACGAATATTAATTTCAAAGACGCATTACCCTGCAATGCAATGCACAGTTTGTTAAACGATTAGTGAAACCTTTTCGGCATTGGAATTTCAGAGCAAGAACTTTCTACCTGTTTGTTGTAATGAAGAGGTTTTTTTCCAAAAAAAAAAACAGTCGTCAACCGGACCTCATCAAACGATTCTACAAGAAATAAAAACAGATGTCAAATTACCGCAAGAGAAGCTGTGAGCACCAAAATCGCCAGTGCGATGAAACCCCGTCTGCTGTGCGCTTCCATTCCTGACAGTCTCGATCCATCCAAACCCTCCGTCCAGCCTTATATCCCTTTGCAGAAGTCACGCAAGAATTGCGAAATTATGTTTGTGATCCCAATGTGACCCCGAGTGTTATCTGAGGTATTTGTGTCCTTACGTTGTATCAAAAACGCCCATGTTTGAAGTAAGATTTTACGTTTCTTCTCTTGCCTCAATGGCATGGCGCCGGGCTTGTAAATCTTGTTTATTATACAGAAACGCCTTTCCACGAATCTCACCTCATAAATTTTCTTAAGTTGTTTATGCGAATCGAGCTCAATTCCCGGTGAGATATTAAGGACAAAACTCATAATCTAGGGAATGACATTGACAAAACCTAACCTCCAAGCAAATTCCAGGATATATCTGAATCAAGTTAAGCCACGACCGCTTCCTTTCCTATCTTTTCCAATTCATTATTCATTACGCAACGTACCATTCGACGCTACGTAGTCTGAGCTCCTGAAAAGGCGTCGTTAAATAAAACATTTAGAGCGGACTATCAATCCAATCAATAGCACTGCCTGATATTTCAAAGAAAGGCATAAATACATTCTTGATACATTTATATACGTAATGAAGACATTCCAGAAAAAAAAATGACAGTCTTCAGTAATGTTGCGTCGCGCAGTCTCTTCGGAACTGACCGATCGCCCTGACGATGGAAGCAGCAAGTACCTCCGAAAAATCGGCGAGTTTCTACGAGAATACAATACGCTGCAACCCTTAAGACCGCCAACTTCGAATTCTCAGACATGAACCACAGTTTGCGTCCCAGTGTTCGCGAACAAGAGGAAAACACCAGCTGTCTACACAACACATGTGTACGACTTTTTATGACAGAGAAATACAAAGAACGCCTTGCCGTTTCATCTGCGTAAACACCACGAGGATGCACGCGGAGTGCTCTGCGACCTACTTCGGCCAACCTAACCTAACAAACTTAGCAGCAGGAAAAGGAACCCGCCTTTCACTGCACACTCCATAGAAACAAGCAACATTTTCAAAATGCGTACTCCAGTTTTCAGAGAAGTTCATTACCGTGTTCACAAGAGCCAGCCACCGGCCCCTTTCCCGATTATCCCAGTTCACACCCTCCCGTAACAGGTATTGAAGACCTATCTACTTCTGGGTCCCCCAAGTGGCCTCTTTCTTTTACCTCGTTCATGAAGGGTTCTTGCGAACACCACAATAAGCCTTCGTGTTTCACAGAAGGCGGGAAATTCCTTGACCAGCTAAGCGTGTGTCAGCTTCTCAAAGTCTATGCCCCCATTCATTAGAACTGCAACTGTGTCTCAAAGGGGTACGCGAAGACATCTTAGGGGGTACGTGAAATTTTAAAAAAATATATTATTTTATGATAAACACTGAATAATCAGTAATGTAATTTATTTAATTTATTTTAGATGTAGATTATATACTATGTATAACTTGAATTATACACCAACAACTTTGGGGGTATAAATTGAAGAGAAATTATATCTGGGGGTACGCGAACAAAAAAGGTTGAATACCACTGGTCTACACCACCAACAAGTAGGAATCTACACAAAAATTTCGTTGATCTGAAGATTATTTCCCATGTAGTGGAAAGAGAGGAGTGGGGCAGAGGTTGTGGCCTACTTTAAGGTAACGTACCAGCATCAGCATGGGGAAAATACAGAAAACTGAATTGAGGATCCAGTCGACGAATGGAATTCGAACCGCGTACTTCCAGAAGAAGAGAGAGACATGCCACGCCCTTGTGACTTCACAAATTCTTTCTTCCTGAGAGTCGGACACACGGACACATGCATACTTCTCTACAAGGATACAGCCCAGATCAGGGGCTTAATTAAGTTTGCTCTCCTAGAAACGCGTAACCTACAAACTCATTCTTCTGTTTACATTGCACTGTTTGATCAATTGGTAGCAAGAAAACAGTACTTACACCACAGTGCAAAGTCTCGCTATAAAACCATTACGAAGGATTAACACGGGTAAACCGGTTGTCATCGTGATTTTGAACTCCGAGATACAATGCTTCCAAGACGTCTTTCTGAAACGTTTCTCCAAGCAACGCTGACAATCTTCGTCGTACTGGTAAGATTTCTCTCTATTTCCTCGTAAAATATTATAATTGCCGGGATTACGAGAATGTCAGAGACGCATCGAGCTGAAACGTATGGCAATGTGCGCCTCATATACGGAGAACAGGGTATCCCCCCCCCCCCTCCGGGGGAGGTGTGAGTGTCTCTCTTTTTTTGAAGACTGTTATATTCCAGCCTCCGAGGATAACCTACTAGCCCTTTCCAGTTTCAGTCCAACGTTCACAAGGTCTAGACGTATCTCTTTTACCTCGTGACGACTGTCTTCTGGGTTGTTTCGCCGTCTGTAGTCCGGCCATTGTGGGAAAAAAAAGCACATCTGAAACGTCGGTAAACTTCTAACATATTACACGGTGCAACAATTTCATTGTGAGAACATGAGATAAAAACACTGACAGATTATTTCCATTTCATTTCCAGGTTCAACATTCTAGTTCGGAATCAAACCTCGAAAGGTAATGTAAATTTATTTATTAAACTGCAGTATCTACGTGCAGACTACTCACAAAATCCCTCCATTGAGCACTAACCTGAGCCAATCGAATACATATCTATTTTAATATTATCCTTTCATCTGCGCGTAGATCTTTTAAGTGGTCTCTTTCCTTATTCCTTGCGTTAAACGACCTATGAACCTGTAAGTTTCACATATGAACAGACAACACAAGCTAAGCCACAGTTAACCCGAACAAGGGGTGTCCACAGTGGCTGCAAGGGGCCTGGGGTTTTTCCGCACCCAGCTGACTGCGCCCAATTCCTGATCTGCGCAGAGGATCACGGGAAAACATTCGTAGCCGAAACAGTTCCGTGTCCAGAGAACTACAGCTTCTCAGTGCCTGAGAAAACGTGCGTCCGCAGTGAAGAGGTAACTTAACGAACCTACTGTCCTCCATCTTCAGAAGAATTAACGTAACGTTGCTTTATTACGGTACTAAGAATACACAAATTTGGTACAATCGATTACTATCATGGTCTTCACTTCCTGTGGGTGACGAAAATTTCTGAGCCAACAAAAGTTAATCCTTCAGAACCCTAAAATTCGGAACGTCAACGGGGAACGCATTTCATACTTAATTTAAAGTTCACAAAACACTACGTCATTAGAACACCACATCAAGACAAAGGCTCAAACTTCACGTATGACGACGATGGGCGGGAGGCGGGGCAGAAGAATGAGTAAGCAGGACAGGTGCTGAGAAATCCTGGACAGCATTGATCACAAGTTGTCACTAGTAACTCTCCTGTGCAGTGTGTACCCGTGACACATCCGCCGAGAAACAGGGTGACCCGAGCCGATGGTCAGAGAGGATGCAAGGCCTCGGGTCCATACTGCGAGAGCTGCGACAGGCTAGTGGTCTGCGCCAATCTGGGGGAGCGTGGTCTGACGGCTCTGACCAACATAAGCTGCTCAGAAATAGACCCGGACATGAGCTGCAGCAAGGCCTCCTGCACGACGCAGCCAACAACTACACAGCCCTGCGAGGACTCCGATAAAGCGGGCTCCTTCCGCTGTCTGCAACCGGGATTTTTCCCGGACCCTGTCGACTGCAAGCGGTTCCACGTCTGTGGCAGTGACCTCAGTCACTTCTCAGGTAAGCAGCCCCACCGCGGGGTCACCTGGAAGACGCTTGCGACCTGCCTTAAAGCACTGTTGCAGCTTCCGTCTGGACGGACTAAAGAAACGCCACGAATTTCTATAATATCTACCACATTCCATTACTCTTGACTCCGAGTCCGGCAAGAGACTTCAGAATACAATTTTCTGAAAATTTAAGTAAATTTAAAAAGTAAGTTCGTAAATTTTAACTCGTGGTATGGATGAAGCATCTTCAATCTTATCCACTAATGAGTAAGAAACGACACTTTTGATGACAAGAAAAAACGTATTGGAGAAATACATAAACGTTTAGGGTCATGACAAGAAAAGAAAGTATTGGAGAAATACATAAACGTTTAGGTTGACGGTAATTAGTGTCTCTAAAGCAACACAAAAGTGTGATTCAACTTTCTATTTACGTCCAATTAATATCGGTGGACCAAGTCTTACAATTGGGTAAACTACGAGAAATTATGTACAAGTGACAGATCCGATGTACACAGGTTGTTATGAAATGTAAAATGAAGACAATTGCCATTGGATAAGAGGCCGGGTGGGCCCCGGAGTCGGTCAGGATGCAGAAGCTGGAGAAATCCTCACGATGTACTCAAATAATTTCAGGAGAATGTGACGACAAGTTCGACGCCGACCTTGGGATATGCACGAGCGTCGACCCGGACAACGCGAAACCTCCAGGACCAGAGACGGAACATCAGTGCAAGAACCTCGAAAAACCGTGCACTGAGCCGAACGTGTCACCTGTCCCCCTACCGACCTACCCCTCATACTACGTCATCTGCATCCCAGTAGCCACAAAGAACCGCAAGTCGCCGTACACCTACCAGCTATCGGTCGGAAAGTGCCCAGGGCGCCAGGTGTTCAATTCCGAGACCATGGCGTGCGAATTCTCATGCACCGGAAAGCGAGGGAGATTCCAGGACCCCGACAACTGTCGTTCGTACATAGAGTGCTCAGGTAACGCTGCAGTCAAGAAAGACTGCCCGGATAACTTCGCGTTCCACCCGGACAGGAAATTCTGTTTGCCAGAGTCGATGGTGCAGGGGTGCCAGAGGACGAGGGCCGCAGTAGACGCCGACGCCACCACGACGCCAGCTACACCCACCACGACGCCGACTATTCCAAACGAAGGGTTTCGGTGCCAAGCCAGCGGTGCGTTCCCCGATAAATCCGACTGTCACAAATTTATAACTTGTTCGCGTGTCTCCAGAGGTGGCAGGGTTTATTTCCATATGCGCAGGAGGCAATGCCCCTTCCTCACGTTTTTCAATCCGAATGGGTACTGTCAGTTAGGCTTCTGCTGGAACTAGTCACAGCAATTCCCGGAATCAGCCCAGCGTGAACACACACACACACACAAGCTTTGTATGGACAGAGAAAAGGAAGTAGTCGACTTTCTCATGCTGAGTTTCGAGTTCGATAACCGGAAATGGTAACTCAGCGTGTGGGCCCATTTACATTTCTATTGAAGTCCATTATATTATACAAACAGTCCCCCATAAAAATTATACACATTATATTACAGAATATTAACATTGTGGGGTTTTTTTTTCATTTTTTTTTTTTGGGGGGGGGACATCCCGTAAATTGCTATTGTGATATTGTCACCACACATTAATATGTAGTACCTGGCATCTACTTTGCCCACCTCTGATCTACTGTAAACTGTAGACTTCAGTGTACGAACCGTGAAATTTTCGTCGCATTTAAAACTCAGTTCCCTTCATTGCAATCATGAACACAAATACAAGCTATAAATACTGACGACCTAATACATGTGAATTAAATGTTGTTTTTTCAAAACACACATTCATGCAGAATGTATAATCTGCCCACAATATTTATTTTCGTAAATTGACGTCTGGCAATTTATAATTAATTCTGTTTTTTGCAAGCCCGATTGATATGGGCAGTGCAAACATCGCTTATTCAGCGATGTATTTAAACCAATAATTACCGTATGAAGTTAAAAGCAATAACAAATATCCCACCAACGAAAATATTTGCAGTTGGGTTACTATAAACGAGACTGTAAAGTTTAATCAGAGTTGAGTTAGTCTGCAAACTTCCTTACTGTTCTTTGCACACGGTACAACATTGGTCTTGATGTTTATTTACCACCAACAACAATCTTCTGTTGAAACCGGAAATTAATAGTATACAGTCCCTACTACAATGTGCAAGTCTATAACCACAAATTTTAATGTTAAGAAAATAAATCATCAGTACATATATAGCAGCCCATAACACAAGATTCTGCTTAGAGCCAACATACATGTACACCACACTGCGAAGTACCCAATAGAATTTACACATTACAGAACTATCTTGAATGTCAAGCATTCAATTATTCGCTATGACGCATTTCTTTATAAATCTGATAAAGGCTGAATTTTAATCAATGATTTATTGCCGGTTTGGTTTTAATAAGAAGTCGCCCACGAGACGTATTTTCTAGGACAACGCCACCGTCACATTTGATTACACATGAAACGTTCACAATACGTAATAAAAATGGTTACCATTTCAAACAATATCCTATTCCCTTTGTTCGTAAACACAACGGCCAACTTAAGATATTCAAAGGCAAATATTGCTTAACTATAAACAAAAAATAAAGTAAAACACTTCCATACCTTCGTACAATGCAGAAATGAAGAATTCGCTGGGCAACCTCGGAAACCGGCGTCATGCTGACTTAATGGCGCACCAACATTAATCGGCAAATAAGTTCGTCAGTAAAACAGTTACAATACAAATATAGCCACCTTTTCCCAGTCCGCACTCACTCACAATGTTATATGTATTCGGTTCCGAATAAATAACTCAAAACTTTTCAAATCGCAAATGTAATCTGTTTATTCAACAAACTCCAATCACGCCACATTCAAGAGAGATGACAGACGACACAAGACTACCAACCGCACCGTCAAATTATAAAGTACCTGTTCCCACAGTGAAGGATAAAATTACCTCAGGCTAGAACGACCTGAAGCAAAGTCGTCCTCATGTACTTGATCCACAATTTTCCGCACCTTTAAATCTACACTATTGAACGCATCATTCGAATGACTGTTCAAATGACGGAAAATGCACGAAATCAATGTCTTAGCATATTCATTTATGTGCTCTAGAATCCAAGAACTAGTGGAAATTTACCTCCATTACCACACACATCTTAATGAAGTGGTGCTTTATAATTATCACGGACAACTTAACTTCACCATTACAGCAACATACACAACACCTAGTTTTGTCAGACTTTAAGTTTCTCAGTGGTAAAAATTTGGATTGTGGTCTTCACTTCTGTTGAAAATGAAGGTGACACAAATTCTCTTAAGTATTAGCAAACACCTTAGAAATACACGGCATCACAACCTGGCGGACCAAAATCCACACGTGCACAACATGACTTCAACAGTTTTTCTAGTTTATTAATTCATCAATTTTTGGATCAAGGAACTTGGAAAGGGTTTGATTCTCAGAGAGATTAGGCATTTTTAGTTTATTACAATTTACACTTGGGTCTCATTTCAGTGACCATCTTCTGTCTTAAGAGAGTGATTTGCAGTCAAATCTACTTCAACTTCCTGGATCTGTTCAGTTACTACTTCCTCCTCCTCCTCCTCCTCCTCCTCCATTCCTGGCAGCAAAAGTCTGTCATCAAGGTACAGAAATGAGTCACAGAATACACAAACTGGAGCCTCAAGCAAACCTGTGAACAAATGTACATCTTACACGATATCAAAATTGGATGCTTTCAAGCCTTGTACAAGATTGATGAATCAAATCACTCTACATGCTTGAACAAAGTACCCAGTTCAAAACTTGGCTGTGCTGACTCAGCTTAAGGGAGGTCTCAATGCATGACAATTCCCGATTTGCCTAGACCATTTCCCCCTTTTACCCCGTATGAACTACCCACTTCACAGCACCGCCACTTCGGCCCTGAAGATGGAGAAAGTAAGTTTCTCTGAAAATGGCATCTACCTACATGTCTACGTGGCAACACAACCAGAACAGCATCATAATTTTGCAGATTCTGCCCTCAAACCCCATTAAATTTCAGGTTCAAAATTGGTATATTATGAGTTCATGTATATCAAGTTTGAATACCCGCAGCGACAAATGTGAGCCAGCACAAAGCAGTTCTTCACGACAAAGACCACAGAAAAACGAAGTACCAATGCCGTTTCAACATTCGACCCATAAGAATTAAATGTGGCGTCAACTCCAAAAAGACTGGACAGGGGAGGGTTATACAAGAAAGTTTGTCATCATGGTAGCATTCCGATACGTGTGTACCCTAGAATTTACCTGAGTTGGCACGAGAGATTGAATGGCACACACGACATATCCAGAACGGCACATCGGAACACTGGAGGAGCGAGTGGCAGCACCGGGGTAGCGAGTGACCAGCCGGACATTGTGACTCGGTGGGGTTCTCTATCCTGTCACATTGTGAGGCAGCAAAGTCAAGGATACATACAGTACACACCTGTGACTCTAATCAGACTCAGTCCGCATCATCATCACCACGTTTCTTCTTCGTTTACTTAAAAACATTATCAAGTGTACAAGACACAGAACATATTACTTTCTCACAGTGGTATACTGACTGAAGAGAGAGATACAAGCTGGAGAAATGAAGTTTGTTGCACTTATCAATTGTTTTATAAGGCTGTAAAACACAAATTAAAACAAATGTTTAAAGTGCCTCTTTTCCGATCCAACCGATACTGGGATTTCATCCTTGGGAGAAAAGTGGCTGGAGCACGAAGCTCACTTTCATCTTGTGCAGAGATTAAGGATCTGTGGAGTCAAAGTCTTGATACAGTCGGTATGAAGGCAGATCCACAAGACATTTGGATACTGACGCGAGAGCATCTGTAAAATGACAAACTAACAACCCTCACATTCACCCTCTCCCGTCCATCAACCAGAGGAAAAGAATTCACAGTAAAGGATATTTTGATCACAGATTGAGCAGTGCTCAGAATCCATCAGGTACTGAAACTTGCTGGCACGACGTAGGACGTCCTTCGCCATGGTATACGTTGGGCCTTCGCCACTCATTTCTGTTAAACAAAAAACAGGAAATAAATGTCACTACATAAATTTGTTTCGTCCTCCCTGTCAACTGACCCTACCCTGAACAAGGTAAATCCAATCACACATTTATTACGCCCTCTTAACAACTTAAACAATGGTACCCACCCACATTCACTTTCTGCAACCAAGACAGCAACAAAGATAAGCTCTGTTGATCTTCGCTTGTCAGACAGTCTTGTCTCATCAGTTCCGAAGCTCTAACACACGCGTGGCGGTTCAGAATAAGCTGCTCCGCTCTCTTCAACTCCTCCTTCTGCCACAACATTACGCCATGCAGGAAACAAATAAACAGAGATTAGCCTGTATCATACAGGGGTAGGGTATTTTAAACACCTGCAATATAGGTCTGTCGGCCAATCCGTAAATCCAGTATTTAACAGTTTACTAGTATGCTACTGCAATGTGCAGCCAACCAGATTTTGCAAAAGATGTGATTTGAACTACAAACCCTCAAATACAAGACAGGACATAAAGCTAAGCTAACCCACATTTCGAAACATGAAAGGAAGTGGTCATGACCCATTTAAATTCGACATCCCAGCATCTGCATGCATTAACTAACCAAAATAAACACAGCAACCCTGTAAGAACAGTTGATGTATGGGTTAAGACTTGAACCCAGAACATCTTCAATACAAAATAAGAGTGCTAACCACTTCACTCACCAGAGCCATGTGCCTCTCTGGGTTTTCCTCCACATCTCCCTGCACCACGGAGAACCTGTAGAGCCAGAACTGCATCTTCAGTTGGTACGTGCTCAGATCATCCAGACGGTCACTCAGTTTCCTGAACGGAGGCCCCTGTAATCTACCCACAATCCCAGCTCAGCTTCTTTTCACAGCTACGGCGCAAATGTCAGTATTTGAGAGCGGATGCCTCGGCTACACGGGCGCAAATACTATACGACGCATACATTTCGGAAAGACGAGTTCTCGTCGGACCTCGTACACGAAATCTTTGGACAAAGACTGTCTATGACTAACCTGATAATTTCCAGACAGTCCCAGTACTGTCTGAGGCTCTGCGATTCATTTGAGAGCAACAAGGCATAGGGATCAACCAGATCACAAAGCTTGAAGAATGTTAGCTGAGTTGGGTCTCTTTGGATCAGGTGGTCAAACAGCACACAGAAACTGCAACATTTGACAAACAACGAACTTGTCCTCTTATGGGTTCTGCACATTTCTTCAAGGCATTCTGTACAATGTCATCATTAAGACGAAGCCAGTTACGTTTATGCAACACTCTGCAAGCAGCAAACAGAACAGGAAGAAAGGAAGAAGACTAATGAAACAAAACATATTCAGCAGCAGAGTAGACATTGCAAATTAACAATTATACAGATAGTCAGAATTGCGGTTTTCACAGTAGGGGAAAATGTAGACCTTGATCTTCTGGGTTCTGGAGCCACGTCTTGTTGGTGACTACCAACATTTCTGAGGAATGTATCATCTCCATTTTATACCCTGAAAATGGAGGTAGATATTTCTCTAAATCACTGATAACCATCAACAAGTTCACATGGTGTTAAACCCAGAATACCAATACGACATCTATATGAAAATTATGTGAAATTAAATTACCTTAAAGCTACAACTACATGGAGATCTACTAAAGTAAAACTATCACCTCTACAATAAATCAACGACAAAGGAAACACCTTGTAACCAGACAAAAGATAGCCTTGTTGGAAGAGGCGGCAATTCCGTAGTAGGCCGACTTGGGCACCTTGAATGAACTGAGCACCTGTTCCTCCAGCTTGAGTAGTGAGCCGTTCCTCACGACACGAAATAAGCTGAAGCTGCCACTATGCGTCACCACCATGAGGCGCTGCTTATCCAACACAACAACCCCTAAACCAACACAAACCAATGTTCACAACTACAACCAAAGTCCATTACGAGGGGGGATAAAGGGTCTAGAAATACATGATAACATTAAGAGACTTTCACCCTTATATTCATAAATTAATATGAAAGGAATATGAGGGTTAAGACACCTTTTAAAGCCTCTCCTACTTAAATTACATTCTGTTTTCAGAAACAAGACTCTAGAACACTTGCGTCAGAGACGTGAATCCACCCGCACATGAAGAGACTTACCAGTAACAGAGAGATTGCCCACAAGGTGAGGAAAAGTTGCCACAACTGTCCCTTCTGAATCCAGAGCAACAGCAACAACAAAACCACCCTTTAAAGCCACGATAGTTGCTGAAGAGCTATCGATTTTGTCGCACGGCACAGTGAGTAGCTTGGAGACTTGTATGCGGTCACTGTACGGCCACACGTCTGTCGAGAGGGTGCAATGCAGTTTGTTCCGCACCATCGAGAGAGAGAACATTCTGACAACACCTCTCACATCCCCCACACATAACCAATCTGCACATGAAAACAGGAAAAATGACCTTGGAAAAGAGTCCCTGGGATGCTGAAAGCAGTATTTTGTCATCAAAATTGTCAAAGCAACATGTGCGACTCTAGCACTGATCAGCACAGAGCTCTAATAATTTAGTGACAATTATTTTGGTAAAAAACTGAAAATGACACGGTGAGAATACAAAACATTTTGATGTGATGACAGAAACCGACATATACAGGATCTTTATTTTTATTATTATTTATTTATTTAGTGTTCTGTCTTACGACAGGTCCATATGAACAGGATCCTTCCATCCTTTTCTCGGACTGGGACCTGTTCATATACGTTCTTGGCAGATGATCCAGAAGTGGTTTGCCATTGCCTTCGTCTGTGTGTGAATGGAGTAATTGTTGGGATGCCACAGAGAAACCGGGGAAGCCCCCGGAGGAAAACCCCGTGTTGCCTA